AAAACTTTGGCATAATGCAGACAAATTTATACTGATCTTTGCTTATGTCATGGAAATAATACCAAACGTGGAGAAAGAAAATATTGGTTCAAAATTATTTTGATTAAAATCTCAGGCATTGTTTTTCTGCTTCAATTTCAGAATATCGCTGTGTAATTAGAAACCCAAGCATTAGTAGTGCCATTTAATATCCAATAAACGAGACGTGGATATAACATTATGATAATTTTTAAATGATGACTTGATTCGAAATGGGGTTTTTAATATCATATCTGATACAATAACTTTTCAGGCTATATGATATTTTACCCGAATGTCGTTATTCATTTACTGAGGTACTGATAACCGAAACAAAAGAAATGCCACTGTTCATAGCTGAAACAAAATGGAAAACAAACACTTTAAGGTTGTAGATATGACGGTTCTACTGTTCTACGGTTCTACAAGACCAAACGAAGAAATGATCTCTACATAGTGTTAGAAACATAGATCAAATGAACGAATCAAAATTGGTTTAAGATACCAAGCGTAATCATTACAGAACATTATGACATTCACATCGCCATATTGGAAAGATTCTTAGATTTCCTTTAATATTTGATCCTACGATATTTTGAACTATTTAATCAAAAAATAATTACATCATGGTCCTTTGAAACTAGTCACCTACTATATGTTCTTTAAATTATATATACGCTCGTAATAGTTAAATCTTAAATAATAAATGAATCTTCCAATTCATTTTCAGAAAAGGACATATTTTTTTCTTTTTGCTCACAATTTCTCCAAATCAATAGTATTGACATTGTTTTTGTATAATTATACATCAGGACATCTGATATTATGTGCCATGATTTAAATGTAGGAATTCATGGCTTTTTACTTTAGATCACATGTGAGGGCAAACTTTCAAGTGAATTCTGAAAATAAAACTGAATGTAATGAAAATCACTATATTTTAAATTCGGCAACACGGCTGAAGGAATAGAAAAGAAACGTACAAAACACGTTTCCAACTCAAAGCTAATGGTAATTTCCCTTAATTGTTGTAAAAAATATCAAACATGAATAGTTGTTACTGGTAATAATCCTACTTACTTCTCATCTAAATTTTATAATTTTGATTTAAAAATAAAATATGTTTCTTCTGTGACCACATGTCTCAGAGGAAATGAATTTGTTTTATTTAAATTTAATATAATTTTGATATAAATATGCCAGCATGTATAATTAATTTGAAAACCTGGTTACGTCGGTATTGGCTCAGTAAATTGTCATTGATGGTGGAAAGAACTTACCAACATATTCAGACGAATGCAAGCTTGCTTAATCCTACTTGATTTCTGCATACAAAATTATCTTACAGTAATCAGCAATATTCTCATGTGGATACATTATGTAAATTATGTCCTCTTGAAATATTCACAAAATGAAGGAAATGAATACTGAATGTAAATTTGTTGATTATTGAAATATCACTTGTTATTGAACAACAAGTGTTGTATTCACCTTTCATTGATATTCAAAGCAAAACAGACACATCACATGAAACGCTTTGCACGCATGAACTTTTATTTTTAAAAATGTTATTGTATATCTTACAAATAATAATGATAATAATAATAATAATAATAATAATAATAATAATATTAATAATAATAATAACAATAATGATAATTAATGATAATAATAATAATAATAATAATAATAATAATTTATAATAATAATATTATTATAATTATTAATAATAATGATGATAATAATCATAATGAAAGAATTAAATTATCGAGTATGCCTACTACTGTTTAAGCAGGTGTTGGGTAGAGGGCGTAATATTTCAGGATAAATTAAAATATCTTAATCGTTTCGTTAAGTACTTATTGAATAATATTATAAGATAAATAGTCCTTTTAACACATCACAAAAGGGAACGAAAATGTAAAGAAAAGGTCATTCAAATCATACTGATTTTTGTTAATTAAACAAGACAACAAGTAAAAGGATTGATATTACTTAATTCAAAAACGAGCTTTAAGGCTACACAATAAAGAAAATTAAACAAACAAAAATCTTTCAAGATATTGTAAATATCTTTTTTAAGAATATTAATTCGATCGATAATGAGTTTGTCAAGATATCAATATAATTTTAAACAATTTTCCTTTCAAACAACTTTATTATAAACACTACGTTAAAAATAACAAAAACAGATACCAAAATTAATGATTTATATTTTTATGTTTCATTATTATATGAAACAAACATAGAATATAAGTATCAGCTTAATAAAAAAAATATTTAAATATAATTATAAAAGGCATGGTCACTCTTTACAGAGTTATAGGAGAATTTTTATGTTTTGATATCATAATACGAGTAAAAACTTCTTGCTTAATGGAGTATTTAAATTCACACTTAATCTTTATCTTGAGCAAAGTATTATATATCCATCTGTATGGGACATATATGATTGTTAAGAATATGCCCTATTTAGGATTGGAATAAGTTTAAGTAAGAACATGGATATACAGGATATTACAAGTAAGAACATAAATGTTAAGGATGTGATAAAGTACAAGTTTTTAATGACGTGATCATGTAAAAACATGTAGGTATAGGAAATTACAAGTAAGAATATAAATGTAGAGGTTATTACAAGTAAAAACATAGAGTACAGGAAGTGACCAGGTACATGTTTGTCATGTAATACTTTACTCAATCTGATGTGACGCTCCATCTCTTAAAACATTTCAATGATATGTGGTTTATTTGAATAAATTAAATTGAGACATCTGAAGAATTGAAATTCTGTACAATGAAAAAACACAGAAACGCAAGAATAAAAATCAAGTCATGAAGCAGGGTATTTGATAATTAAATAAGATCATTGGGATATGAGATTAATTTGTATTATAGCATAAAATCGGCTATTTTTCCCTACTTTGTCCATGTTAAAACGGGACCACAACCATGTGTTAACACAATCACGCGCTGTTGTTATAGTCCGTTTTCACCTATGTGCAATACATACAGGGCCAAGTAAACAAACAAAAAAAATGACGATTTAGTCTGCTTGCCAAAGAGTCATGCGCTCTTGTTATATTGAAATTATTGATTTTGGGGGCCTCAATCGCATTACAGCGAGCATCATTCAACTATACCGGAAATACAGCGTATGTACATCGCTGCTAATCTTGATTGTCGCCCTTTCTAAGAAACGGACAGTTGTCAATGTAAACAAATACCTGTCATTCAGTTTAACCCTCCGATTAACTAACACAAAACGAATATGACAAAATGTTGTTTTATTGATGTTTATGTTGATAAATACTCTTTATATTTCTTTGAGAAAATAATGTTTAGTGCCTGAATTTTTTTTATTATCTTGCCTTGTGTGCATTCTGATGTCACTGATCTTTTTTCTACCGTCAATCTGAAATCATTCTAAGAATTTCTGAGGGTCATATTTTGTCCTGGGTAGAGGGTAGAGAAATGTTACGTTGTTTTGTTTCTTTAGATAATAAATCCCCAATGTCAAGCTTTGTTAAATCAATAAAAATTCAACATTTCGTTCGGTTCTGAGAATTTCCCAAGTTCTTGGCCCTGGAAAAATAAAACACATACGTAAAACATGTAGAATAGGATAAATACCGTCCAAGCACAAGGATTTAATGCAATTGTGGTTTGTGTTAAATATACATGATGGTCATCATGAATCTAATTTTAAAATTTAATGCTATGATAGCGTCAAGGCACGTTTATTTCGTGTTATAAAGTCTGCAAAGTCCCTCAGAACTGTTGGAGCCCTCGCCCTACCGGGCTCGGGCACCAACCGTTCCTCGGGACTCTGCAGACGTTATAACACGGAAAACGTGCGTTAACCCTATAATGTAACATAAAAATGATATTTGTCAAACTGTGACAATGTATTGAAAATCTCTTTAAAGTTAATCCTACAGCAACCTTCATTATAAAAAAATTATCAACGGGATTATAATAATGTCTAATTAACGTATAAAAAGATTAATTTAAAAATGATTAACGCACCTTTGTGACTGCCAGAGATCAATATCAATTGCGTAAAAAAACAAACAACTGATTGATTTTATTGTGATTTTCTGTCCTCCGTGCTAAATTTGTTTCTCTGCACATATCACTTCATTAATACTTATTTACATGATTACAATTACAAAACCAATACAATCTGAATCTGATCTGATTCTTTCATGCATAACAGAGTAGATGCAATTTGAATGAATTATTAAGTACCTGACTTTTACGGTAATAAATAAATAATTGATAATCCGATCGGCGCAAAGAAATATTCAAATGCTGATGCAATGTACTGTTAGTGTGAAACTGATTCGGAAAACACCGATGAAAATAAAGACGCAAATGTCAATTTGTCTTATGTTTACTACTTTCTTGTTTGTTAAACATTCAAGCAGCGATGAAAGAATAATTTGGAGGATTTATTAACAGATATTTTTTATTATAGACCTCTTAAACAATCGATTAAAACTGTTCTTCTGAATTATTCCAGCAAATTATATGTATTGCTTTCTAAGTTTCGTAGTAAAAAATCTTATTTGTTTTTAATTGAAACCTTGATAGATTAGTATCACATACCCTTGAATAATTATTTCAATTCGGATTTTGTCAATAAAAGTCTGCTCTATTTTGAATGTACACATACATGTAAAGCGTATACCTAAATCGGGTTGCTTCAATGCATTTCAAATACTCTTTTGTCAGTAATAATATAAATAAGGGAAATGTTAACAAATTGATGATTTCAATATATAATATACATCTTTAAGATTAGAGGTCTCTTTCTGTTTGCATGATATGTTTCATTTTCAATTGCGAGCACTGTTAACTCACTACAGCTTATTTCCGATACTTCTTTATTAGCTATGACATAGTTATTGGAAAACTATTCACGGTCTCTCAAATCACCACACTACAGATATTCAACTTGTAGTTTGTGTTAGCAGACTTGATAAGATATCGCAAAAATTTCTTTCACGGATTTAAATGTTCCTTAAAATGTGAAAATGATCATTGTTTTTTTAAAGTAACGAAATACAGAGAATAACATATTCAACGTGTACAATGAAACAATGAAATGACCGGTACAGAATGCTTATGATTGTAAAACTTGTGATTTAAATGGAATATATGAGTACTGATAGTTACATTTATTATATTATAGCAAACACTTTGGAGCTTTTTTTTTAATCTTCGGAGATTTGGAAATAGCAAACGTTATCATAACAACAAGTATGTGACATTTTGTTTAGGATACTGGCATTGAAAATTATGAAAAGGGGATTAAGTAAAATGTTGTTAATGACTGCAATGTTCGAAACAATTTTATCAGGTAAGTTTTATTGTAATTTTATTGTCTAGTAAAATTGTACCTAGTTACCGAATTATAAAAGTGATGAATTTAAATATCAAGTAAAATAAATGTGTAAGAGAACAATGAACAAATATTTTTGCCTTATTATTTTGGTTATATTTTTATTATGGAATATATACCATCAAAATGCATATTAATATTGCTAGATAGATGTCATCATTGAAATTTATGTACGTCCAAGTTTTGTTCATTACAAATCAACATTGAACAATCCAAAGATGTTTTAGATTTCAATCTGGCCTAACTGTTCAGTTAAATTTCGGGAAGTAAATAAGAATTTTGAAGACATCGTTTGTTACAACAATGAATGAAAGCTGCAAAAAAAATAGATATCATAAATATATATATATATCAATTGTTTTATTTCAGTTCATGCATTAAAGTGCTGGAAGTGTATTGCGCACGACTGTAACGCTGACCTTGAAGACAACTACAAAGCAGCAAAGGTCAAATGTCAGGAAGGTCAAATGTGTATGGTAAGAAAAAAACTGTATCTCTAAGATTTTGAAACAATTCTATTCACTACTGCACTTTCTTCTCCGTTGTATTGTGACTTTGTTTCCATTTTTTTTAAAAAATCAAATTTAGTAACTGTACTACGATACAAGACGAAATATTTGTCAACAAAATCGAATAAATTCAAAATATTTTTAAAACAGTCTATCAGTGAATGATACTAATAAAATTAATTTGCTTTGTTTCAGAAAGTACGGTACAGAATGTTTGACAATGTTACACACTATGATTCTGTTATACGGACTTGTACAGACACTAATTGTGACACATCCTCCATAGATGATTTCTTCTCGTGTATAGCCAACCCTGCAAAATACATGATCGGAGGTTGCACGTTGCGTTCGTGTTGTGATGACAAGGATCTTTGTAATATAAGTGCTAAAATGTTGACACCACCAGTGTTATTTATTACGCTTTTTACAATTAGTATAGCACATCTATTAGCATAATAGGGCGATTATATATATTATATCTAGTGATTTAGGATATTCCTAATGTTTTAACAAATTGTATTTCTACGCATAAAGGTCACTGATACAATGAATGTAGAATAAGGAAAAACATATTATTAAACGACGCCTTTTTTCTGTCAGAAACAATTCATAAAAAATAACTTAACTTGTACGTTTGAATATTTGTGAATGCAAAATTAATATGTTTGTCTTGCGAAAAGGCTAATATAAATGGAAAAGATAAGTACAAAATAAAAACTACAAAAGCTTTCATCTGGTTTCATTTTGGATTTTATTTATGATGATTGATAGTTGTGATTAACTTTAAATATTCTTAACTGACAATCACATGTGATGTTCCTGTTTCAAGTGATACGTGACGATTTTTGTATAATGTTACTTATCGGCATTATACTGCATGATGTAAAAATAAAGGACGGGAAAAAACAGTACTTAATTAATACATCAAATCCAAATCTATTAATTAATCTTTGTTGACATCTTAAAGATTATCATTAAGACTAGCATATTGTACTTTTGAATTGATAGTTTTGAATATTTGGTATAGATATAATTGAATTTACATTCTTTACCTAAGTTTTGAAAAAGCTGTGTGTAATTTTGTTTTCTTTTTTTGGAACAAAATAACGTTTAATACGGGCCATGACATTATTCTTTTATGCTCTTTAAAGAGAGAGGTAAAATGTGTATGCAGGCTTATAATGGGATTATTTGAGAACTGGTATGTTAAAATATAATTTGAAACTACCTGACTACATTTTGGAAATACATTTAATCAATAAGAAATTAACCAGTCATTGAAAGTCAATCAACATACTACGCAGAACTTCTAGTTAAAGGAGATCGCAAAAATGAAAATAGCATATAAGTCAGAAACATGTTTGTATGATGATCGAATATGCTTACATATCATTATCTGATCATTATGAATTTAAAGTTACTAAATTTCGTTTTCTTTAACAAGTTAAGATCCAAAATTGTTAGTTTATAATCTCTTCTTCTTTTCTTTTATTAGAGTTACTAGATGTAAATAATCACATATTAAATATTTTGAAAATATGTCTGAGACAATAAAATCATTCACATATAATTGTTGTAAATTGTCTAAGAAATCAAATCTGAGATCATTGTAAAACATTTTGTCTGAATAACAACATGAAACTTCAAAATTTCAAAATGAAAATAGCGTATAAGTCAGAAACATGTTTGTATGATGATCGAATATGCTTACATACTATTATCTGATCAATATGAATTTAAAGTCACTAAATTTCGTTTTCTTTAACATGTTAAGATCCAAAATTGTTAGTTTATAATCTCTTCTTCTTTTCTTTTATTAAAGTTACTAGATGTAAATAATCACATATTAGATATTTTGAAAATATGTCTGAGACAATTAAATCATTCACATATAATTGTTGTAAATTGTCTACGGCATCCCATCTGAAATCATTGTAAAACATTGTGTCTGAATAACAACATTAAACTTCAAACTTGTTTATGAATACGTGCTTTTAGTTTTATTATCAACTATCTTTTAATACATGTCTGACAATAGATTTAAGGTAGAAAAATCAACAACACCTGAATATAATTTTTATTTACTTATCAACGTTTCGGCTTATGCTGCATTGTTCTTGAAAAGTTTTTATATTACGTGACTTGTTTCCTTTGCAAAAAAGATATAGCTAAGTTGTAATATAAAAACATATCCAATCAATGAGAAACATTTCCACAATGATTTATTATATACTTCATAGGCTCAGGTTGTTACTTTAGAAATTTATTTAAAGACTCGCTCCTGGTGAAGAAGAAACGGATTTTACTTTAATAATTTCAAATGCACTTCCCTAAGTTCAAATAAGTTAAATTTATATTCTGCATAAATAAAGTAAAACTTCTTTAAATAATTCGTTAATTGATATAGGTTTGATATATTTGGTATGTACTTGCCACCAAATTTGTTCAAAAGTTTGGCATCATTGGTCAAAAATCGTGATTTTTTAATATATATAAATTACAAGTTTTTGATGAAATTAAAGTTATTTTCAAGTAAAGAAATGCATACATCCGGACTCACATTTTGTTTTTAAAACCTTGTATTGCTCAGATTATGATTTATGACACAAGACACTTATTCTAAACAAAGGCATTTTGATCAAACTTTATATGATATTTTGCTATGTCTGCCGTTTATTTCAAATAATATGTACAACATTTTTATTTGTAGGTCAATACTACCATTTTTTATCTTTTTTTCTCAAATGTTTTGTAACCATAACTCATTTTTGTATAATTTGGTCCTTAATATAATGATAAGTTGATAACATAATTTCAATTCGATTTAAGACATTTCCTATTTTGCATAAAGCATTTTTAAACACTTGTACAAAGTTGTCCATTCTTACTAAAATGATGGCAAATAAAAATTTACCTCACCTGCCTTTAAATTATTTTAGCTCATGTTCATATACAATACGAAAAGCTTACATTGAGATTTTGTTAAAATGACAATCAATGTTCCTTAAGAAGGTCAACATTTTCCCCTTTAATTCCTTTATATTGATTTAAAGAAATTGTTCAGCACTTGAAAGTCTTAAAGAAAGGAATTAAATTAATTTCAAGTTCATTTGAAGATTACATCCAGTAATAACACATTTTGAGACGTTTTTGTGTAAGTTTATTCCTTGTAAAGTAGAATATGGCATTAATGGAAATTAGCCATAAGAGGCGCAAAAATGCCATCTAAATGCATAAGGAAAGGGTAACAAAAACTTATCTAGCATGTCTAGTGACAAAATGCAGACCACAAAAGCAAATGTAAGATCATAGATATTTAAAACTAAATGAGAGTAAACTTCACATGTTCGATATGTCGTATATGTATGACAAATTATTGTTTTTTAAAGAAACAAATGCAAAATAGCATACCGATTACATTTATTATACACATTGATTTTCAGCATTGCAATATTAAGTTCAATAGAAACACTAACTATCATTTTAGGCAATTGTTTGATTAATTTATCGTGTTCAAATCTTTTTGAATAGATGCGATAAAGAAACAAACTTAAAAAAAAGATGAAACTATAGCATTAAATACATAAGTATAGAAGAAATGAATTCAAATGACGTTAAATCAATTTACAAACAGTTGTAAAACATATTCAATATTTGATTTAATGGATCTTACATTTTACATTGTTTAATTGTATACTTGTATATAGAAATATTTATTTCACTATAGAAAACATATACATGGACATTTAAAACAATATGTATTGTTCAAACATTTAAAACATACATGAGAATAAATAAGCCATGACATGCACATCAGCACGACGGATATCACAGAAAGAGTGACTATTATTTCCATTGTGGTCCCCTTTGTTGGTGGCATGACATAGAGAACCTTTATTCAGTGCAAAACATACATGTATATTTTCAATTAAATATTATCGCAGTTAATACATAATTCTGCTTCTAGACAAACTTCAAAATAATTCATCATATCACAGTAGAAAACTTAAACCTATTACTTAGACATTTGTAAAGATACCAAGGCGCAACAATAAAAAGAAGGAATGAGAATTTCAAAATGAGTATTAATTAATAGACTAAAAGAATGGCAACATTGCATACGATTTACGAACTCAGTCAAAAACCAATCCTATACCGAAAATAACCTAAACTTTCCGGTTGCCGAGTTGGTAAATAATATTCATTAAAACAGTTATAAGAAATCTGAATTAAATACGTTAATCTTATTTTGACTTTTAGATGTAGTATCAACAAACACACTTTAATTGGCATTATGTCATTTAATGATTTATGAAAAGACACATTAAAATATTTTTGTAGGGTACTGTTTCAGAATTTTACTCACTGCAACACATTTATCTACCTAAAATAGAGAACACCTGTGTATTGTTTTATTTCAAAATAATTCAAACAATAATTAAACGCTTTAAAATAGCTTTTTTGGCGTTTTTATAAATATAAAATTCAATTGTCATGAAACAAAAGTATCCTGCATAATGAAAACATGTCATATATGAAATGTATGATTAATATATTGATTAAGCTTGAAAAAAGTTTTGTCATGTTATTCTTTTTATTTCCACATTTTTACCAGTCTGTGGAATAAAAGATAAGCAAAATATGACAGTTGATTTGAACAAGACAATCGATGTTCATTTTTTAAGCATTTTTAGATTCAAGCGTTTACACATACTAGCTAGAATGTAAAACATTTGCAGTGTGAATATTTATTGTGTTAAGTACGAAATACAACTAGCTTTGGAGAGCTATTTGGTAATAACGTCAGTGTAATATGATGTAACGTCAATATTTTTATTTAGGAATTAGATATCAATTCTGAGTGCATTGTTGTAGAATAATGCACGGTTTGAGTTCAAATGCGTAGTAATATAATCACGAAGGCCGATAGGCTTGAGTGATTAATTACAAAGCATTTGAACGAAAAACGTGCATTATTATACAATAATGCACGAATAATTTATATATATTTCCATTCTAACACGTCAAGAAAAATATAATTATTATTATAAAGATGAATTTTATGTTTGGAGGTTAAATTTGTTTTCGCCTCAGAGTTTCCAATAGAAACGTTCTTTAAAGGCTGTTCCAATGGGTTGAAAAAAACTGTCGTTAAATCAACCGTGTGTAAAAACAGTTTGAAAATAACGAGTTTTGAAAACGATAATTAAACATGTTTGGTAATTTTTTTTCACTCTATAAGCGAAATACAAATTATTTAAACTGAAATAAATGTATTAAAGATATTGGTGTTCGGATTTATTTTTTTAGTTAGACCATTTTCTTTCATTCTAGATAGTTTTGACAAAAAAAACTCGACAAAAAATTGTTTTAATTTATCAGATTTTTCGAACAAAATGGCGCCCTCAATGTGAAAATACACATGGTGATAATAAGTACGGCGAGTGCATTGTTGTAGAATAATGCATGTTTCGGGCCTTCTTTCTTTATATAAAAAAAATCCGAGTGTTAAAATGAAGATTTACCCACGCTTGGCAATGACATGACGATAAAACTTCTGTTAATCAATATATATGTCGGTATTATGACTTTGTCTGTCGAATAAACTTATCTTTGAATAATTTGTTTAAAAAGAATCT